GGAGTGGAGAGTTGGTAGAGCTTTAGTTCTTGCCTCAAACATACCCAGCAGCACAGCTATACCACTGTCTCAGGAAGTGTATGCTGTATTAGGCATAGACGCAGTACAGAATACTTATTCTATACTCTCAACATGAGTGCTAACAAAGAAAGAAACCAGCCATGGGTTCACTTAGGAAAAAGCCTAGAATGGTGAAATATATAAAAGTACAGAATAATCTTCCAAGGGAAGTATTGGCAGTCCCATCACTTGAGACATTTAGCACTAGAGTGGATAACACACTAGAAAATGTACTCTAGGGATACATTCTGAATTTTTGAAGTGATGGACATGGACTGGAATACTTAATATGCCTTTTCCATTTGTATATACCAAGATTCTAAGTTGCTAGGAAAATCTTTAAAAACACATATACACCTCTACCTTGATATAACGCTGTCCTCAGGAGCCAAAAAAATCTTACCGCGTTATAGGTGAAACCGCGTTATATTGAACTTGCTTTGATCCACTGGAGTGTGCAGCCCCGCCACCCCCAGAGCACTGCTTTACCATGTTATATCCGAATTCGTGGTATATCGGGTCATGTTATATTGAGGTAGAGGTGTACTTTAATACTCTGTGGAGTATGCATCAGAAAGGCTAGCGTTTTATGCTTGTTAAAGGGTTACCCTAAAACATATATACCTAGAACACTTTAGAAAGCACTAAGAGTGCTTCAGTTTGTTTGGCTGAAGAGTCATAGCCCTTTAATTTTGAAACCATGTGGAAAGGACATGTGTAATTAATATATGTGGGACTGAGCCATTTTTAGTGTATATGTATATGTTTGCATTGGTATATATGAAAGGGATGACTTGCATGCTATTTCATGAGTCATATTTATATAAAACATATGTTATTTATGACATTAATGTGGTATACTGACATTTGCTGGCTGTGAGAATAGATGGTCTCTTAAACAACTAAAAGGTTCACAGAGTAGATGAAAGGGCAGCTTTTATTTTAAATCATTTTAAAAGTATTCTAGGTGGCTATTATGATAAATTCTTAAGGGGGCTCACTTATATATGAATAAGAGGGTGTCTCAGTCAATGTCTAGGCATCAAGAACCTGCTCTGATATAAATTAGTGACAAATCTCCCATTGACTTCTGCAAAAATGCCAAAATAGAACTGTTCATCTTTCCTGCCTATGTCCTGTTTCTTGATGTCTGTACTACTCACATAACCTGCTGATTCAAATCAAGGTGAACCTCTGAGTGATTTATAGAGGTATATAAAATATTTAGCTCATAAGAACAAAGTTAAAGTCCTGGGTTGTACTTTATTATCCTGATCCCTTTTATAATCATGATTATTAATTTGGGTTAAAGGTTGCTCACTTTTCAAACAACTCTGAATAACAGATATTTTAATTTATTACATCATGGAAAATCTTTTGAAAGTTCATATCTATTATTTGTCATGGAACCATTTTTTCTGTGAGCAGCATTCATGGGCTCTTTGAGGATCAAATTCACCCCTGTGCAGATAGCCTACACAATGGTCAGTCACCATTTCAACTCTCAAACCAGGGCTTATTAATGACATGCAGCTCTTATGCTGGCCCAGCAGTGAAATTTACCCTATACGATATTAAATTTAATGGTGTATAAATATATTCTCATCAATGGTCATCAGACCATAGTTTTACTAGGTCTACTCACACAGAACAGAAGTGGCTAACAAAATCACACTTCAAGTACAGGGAATGTCTCTACCTAAAGATCCTATGTACTAGAAGACAAAGGTTCCCTTCAGATGGTCTATGATTGCTTAAGCCTTTGATCCAGGCTTGATAAATGAGACGGACATATGCTCTGACTTTGGCTGTAAAGTAGTTCAGGAAAAACAACTCTGAGTAGAGCAAAGAGGTAAGCTTTTGTCAGATATACCAAAGGACCATCAGCATGGATACAGTAGCAGATTTATAAATCACTATATGTGGTCTGTCTACTAGAATTGGAGAAAGAACTATGCTATGTTAGCAGGAGTTACACAAGCACATAATTTGCCTCATCTTCTGAAAGGCATATGGCAAAAGGGCTAAGACCAGGGTAGGCCTGAAGTGCTGTAATCTCTCAGGTTTTGTGTATGTAAAATGGGTGAATGATAATTGCCTTCTACGGGGGATGATCAATAAGGGTTAGGAAGTGTAGAAAATTATTAACAGCAGTTGAGTGGAAGAGCTGAGGTTAGATCTGATGGTTTCTGGGTTTATAGCTCAGTGGCTGCTTCATACGCCACAGTGTATTGTGTGGAGGAGGGTTGTTCTCTCTCATATATTTGTGCTGTGAGCTATTTTGCCCCCTGATGGGCCAAGGATCACGGGAAATATAAAGGTATCTTCCCCTTTACTTTACTGAACATGCACACCTCAGGGTTGAGCTCCAAGTGAGCAAAATAAGCTTCTAACAGTTTATTTTGAGCCTGAATGAGTAAAAAGAATTTTCTCTAGCACACTTGCCTGCTGATATCAACGGATCTACTTTCCAGTTCTCCAAAGTGCTCACGGTGATGGGTGCATTATAAAAACTTACATGGACAGAGACGCAAAAAAAGAGAGCTGTTCAAAAGCTCTTGTTTTTGGATAGTTTTAGGCATTTCTCTCTAAAAGCCAGAACCTGCCAAATTCTCAAATGGTTTGGCTCCTTGGTAATCCATTTAATAAAGGCAGGTACCTGTTGAAGCATCTCTGCTCAGTAACAGGGGTTTTTAGTCCCTCTCACTCTCACTATAGGGGCTGAGTCTATACAGCCTGTAAAAATAATTAGGCTATACAATTCCCACAAATGTATATTCAGAAATTCCTGTTCCTTCCATGTCCTAATTTGATGCCACACAGACGCTAGTTTCAAAAGACTTTTTAAAGGACTGGCCCCCGCCTCCTCCCATCTGTTAGTAAGGATAATAGGGATTACAAGTTACGCATCTTATTAAGACTGTATTTGTCTCACACTAATCCAGTGGGTTTTCAAAAAGCTTGGAGGTTAGCTATAATTGGGTTCAAATTGAACTTGACCACCACATTAAACCTGAGCTGCTGTTTTGGTTTTATTTTTCTAGGCCAATTTGAGAAGACTTGCTTGCACCAGCCATCTGTACTTAAAAAACAATCTTCCCTTGTTTGCTAAATACAACAAGCCAAATGCATGTCTGCACTGACTCCAGCAGTTATACCAGGGATGAATTCGGCCCAGTATCTTTATCGGGGAAAGGAAATTCCTGCACATTGCCTTTTGTGTTAGTCATTCTTCTAGCATATCCTTCTAATGTGAAATAAACTTCAAAAGCCAGGAAAAGAATAGCTACCATAAAGCAGTCAGGGGCAGGGGGGGGATATATTTATTTCTGCTTCACATGGTGAATTAATTCCATTTGGAGGCAAACCATTCTTTCTGCATAATAAACACCTTAGTTAAACAGGAATCCTAATCAATGAATTTTAGACATTTAGAAGCTACATATATTCAGTAACATATCCTATATCATAACAATAGTCATCGAACCCAGTAATGGCACATTTGATTTGCGATAAAAACTGACACTCTTAGAGCTGTCAGACACTCTTGGAGTTGTCAGATTTTTTATGAAACAAGTTATGGAATAATGCCAATGTTTAGAGGCCATATCCTAATCCTTTTTGGAGAGAATTTGGCCCTTATCAGCCAGTTTTTCTCTTCATTGTGATGCATGAAGCAGAATAGAATATGGATTTATTGACTCTGCAGCACAGGGAGTATTTTTAGTCAGTAAATTAAACAGAAATTACACAAAAGGCAGAGTGGAAGCTGATATGAAATATGTGCTCCATTTCTTATAGTTATTTTTCAAACCATAACAGAACACCTTACAAAAAATAAGCCTGACTAAGAAGGATAGAGGAATGTAACTGATTTGAATAAAATGTAATAATACTTTGAACGTAACCTTTTCCTATTTACATTGTTTTATTTAGACTAATAGAGTATACAGTATACTGTAAAAAGTATATTGCAAAGAGCAGGAAACTGAAGTGGTTTGAGATTCTGAATGGCTGCAGTATCTCGTAGGATTTGATTCTGGTAAGAAGGGAGGCCTATGTTAATGGGGGCAGGGGAGAGCAATGGTTTCAAGAGGAAATATAAAGGAGGATCTAAAGGAAGAGCTAAATCTGGTTGAAATTTTTCAAACCAAAATATTTGTTGATGAAAAGTAGCCATTTTTCAAAACTGAAATTTTAGCAAAAAATGTGGGTTTAATTTCTTTTTGACAAAACCCATAACTTAACATTTCTCCCTCTTTCCCTCATCTCCCCTTCCCTTCCTGTCTATTGACAAAATGGTAAAATGATAGGGGGAGGATCAAAAATTTGTGAGGGTCAAGATTTTATAAGGCCTTTAAGGTAAGATGTTTGAATTTGACAGTGTGAAAGGATCCAGGGGCGAGGCGACTTGTATAGAATTATAGGAGTGGGAAGATGACCTTTTGGATAGATTGCTTCAAAATGATTCTGCATCCTTATCATCAACAGATCTCAAGAAAAAGGCTGAGTGATTGGGTCCAGTTCTAGTAGAAATATTTGCATGATCACTACTTTGTCTTTCCCTATATGTGACTTTAATTGGAGTAAACTGCCCTAACAATGTGTAAATATTAGAATTAAGGCCTAAATAATAAATTTGACTATGCATTCAGTCATAACCAGATATAGTGCTTTCCAGGACATGTACTAATTAGTATGTGTGAGCATAATCCCTTAAGAACCTCACGGAGGCTTGTTAGATGGTAGCAGCCTTTGTGGATATAATTAGTTTTCTCTCATTCCTCCAAACAAATTAATAAAAGTTCACACACACACACATACACACACACACACGGCTGATATTCAATACACAAAGCAAAAATCATTGTGTTTTAAGTGCTATCAAATATCCTGTAGTGCTTAATACCTTAATTCCCCAAAATAATGATAAAAAGTACCTTGAGGCAGGAGGGAAGAAATCAACAAGCGAACATCGGAAGTGTGGAGGATGTAGATAGTGCACTATCTATACAGAAGACACATTACATATATGTATGTGTTTCTCCACCATAATCAGTCTCATAGGGACCATTAAATCTCTGCAGAATCAAGTTACCATGAAGAGCATGTGTGAACTCTGAACAGTTTGCTGTCATGTTATTTAAGTCCACTTTACTTAATTTGCATTATGGTGGAGAAAATACCAAAGAGCCTGGGTAGATTGAAAATGATTTAAATACCTTTGAAGATTTACATTTAGTTACAGCTAACCAAATGATGAGAGAATATTTTTTGCAAACAACTGACACCTTCCATGTCATTTCTGAAAACTCATATCTGCCTTTATAACAAATTATACATGGCCAAGGATTGTAAAAGGCTGCCTGGGTTTACAACGATATGCCTGAAATTTGACACAGACTATATGACAACTTTCAAACAGGCTATAATCATTAATAAGTGCCCAATGAATAAATAACCCTTTGAAATTGTTTGGCCTTCAACAGTTAGAATCATTTATGCAAATGGAGATCACCAGTGACAAATTAAGAGAGGGTTGTATGTGGCTACGCATAACTTAGTACTGTATAGTTTAATGCACTGTCTTTGTAATTCTTTGACTTATTCCTTACCATAGTGAGCAGACTATAGCTGTCAGATTACTGTGTTAAAATGACTAAAGCTATCATGTAGCCATAGTCTAGCAATACATCTTTGAAGTCTCCTTTTTTTGAGCTGATAGCAGGATCACCAAATGACTTATTTACTAAGCTTCTTAACATTCCATTGACTTTATCGCTCTGAAGACTGTAATGCAGGCAAAATTAATTTTCTTCAACTGTTTTGTTCAGGAGAGAAGAAAATGCATCCCAGTGTTTGACTGCTGGAGGCTTGCTTTTTGGATACAGAAAATAATGTTGATATGAACTGTTGGCTCAGGCTCATAACCTCATCCAGCTGGCATCCAGAGGCTATAAATGTCAAGGTGCCACTCAAAGCAATGAACTTAATAAGCACATACCAGGGATGATATTAACTCTAATAATATTACCAATGAATGCAGACTGTTATAAAACGTTCTGGCCTTGCATTCCTTGGCAAAAATAGAAGCTCTTACCACAATCCATAAAGCGGTGTAAATGATAGCTAGTGACCCTAAAAGATTTCTGTATATTAACCCCATTAAGTTGTTATATCATTTATAACTGCATGATGGAATGGAGTTGATAGATCTCCTTACTTTTTCTAAAGAGCTTATAACACAAAATCAGTATTTGTTGTTAGCTTAAATTTCTATTTAGAACTGCAGAAAGCTGCACAACTATGTAAGAATTATTAGTATGGAGAAATATTTTTCATACTATTAATGTTCTAATTGAAACTAAACTTACCATTTTACTTAATAAAATAATTTAAGACTATTCAAAATACAAATATCATAACATTTCCATGTTAAGCTATAAATATACTTGGTTGTGATTATTTCTTGACTGGAAAAAACTATCATTTTAGAAGTCTTTAATTCAGAAAAGTATTTAGAGACTCAATCATCATTAATTACCAGGTGATGTCCCTAGCACTGGGTGATAGTAAAGCTATTTTTGAAACTGGTTACTTGAATATATAAAATAATTTTAAATCAGCATGACTGTAAGGTGACATTTTCCATAAAATCAACTGATGTCGATACCTTTTCTGAAGCTCTTTTATTTTTTCTTGAAGTTCAGATTATTAAACTTCAAGATATATTTATATGTATTGCTATGTTTCTATCAATAAGCCAGTTTATATCATTTAAGTAAACACGTTGAATGCTAGTCTTTTGAAAAGCTGCCGGACCCATTATACATGTGCTGGTTTTTTCATATTTCAATTTTTCAAAATGAAAGATGATCACAATATTTAATACTTATAATATTTATTTAAATTGTCATTAACATATTTTACATTATTTAGGGAGCAGGACCTAGCCAACTTTTGGAGAAGCGAATTTAAACTTTTGCTGAATGCCATCACTTGATGCCCACAATAATCACAGTAAGGGTTTACCTACAGGGCCGCCCAGAGGGGGGGGGCAAGTGGGGCAATTTGCCCCAGGCCCCACAGGGGCCCCCCTAGAATATAGTATTCTATAGTATTGCAACTTTTTTTTATGGAAGGGGCCCCTGAAATTGCTTTGCCCCATGCCCCCTGAATCTTCTGGGTGGCCCTGCTTACCTACAAGTATAAAACTCATTCAAGGGGTGTGATTTGTAAAGTGCTCCAACATGTTGTGTCCTAACTGCTCCACGTAACTAAAAGGTACCTGATTCATGTTAACATAGGCACTATATGCCCACTAGCATGAACTATGTTAACTCAAACTAAGTACCCTTTAGTTCATGCCATCAGGGTCTATATGGGCTAGTTAGAGTGCAGCACAATAGAACACTTTACAAACCACAGTCTTCTAATGTGCTTTACTGTGCTATGTAGAGAAGCCCACAATCCAATGTACAATTAAAGACCTTGACTGAAACTTTAGTAAAAAACCAATTCGGATAGCATGGAAATCACCCTTGTGCAGAGGGGCAGCACACCTATTTTGAAAGCTCAAGTGGGACTTAAGTGGTACATAGGTCTTGGGCTCACCCTCTGCACAGAGGTGAATTTCACCCCCTATAACTAAGAAATTGTTACAACGTTAATCCATGTTATTACCCAGAGAACTTTATTTGGGACATTTCTTTTTAATTGCAAGCTCATGCCCATTCTGCAGTCTATCCTAGGTCTCCTTCAGCTTTACTCCAAGCATATCCCTCCAACTAAGATCACACTTCAGATTTTATTTCCTACCCATATTGCTGAATTACTGTGTAGTTTAGTAATTTAGCACAGAGTATAGCCCAGGGGTGGGCAAACTGTGGCCTGGGGCCCACATCCGGCCCTCCAGACGTTTTAATCTGGCCCTCGAGCTCCTGCTGGGGAGCGGAGTCCGGGGCTTGCCCCGCTCCGGTGCGCCAGCTGGGGATCAGGGTCTGGGGCTTGCCCCACTCTGCGTGGCTCCCTGAAGCAGCGGCATATCTGTCCTCCAGCTCCTATGCATGGGGCAGCCAGTGGGCTCTGCACGCTGCCCCCGCAGCACCCTTTGGCCAGGAACCACAGCCAATGGGAGCTGCAGGCATGACGCTTGCCAACAGTACAAAACGCAGAGCCGCTTGGCCGTGCCTCCACTGCTTGAGGTAAGTGCCCCCTGGAGCCTGCACCCCTGACCCTCTCCCGTGCCCCAGCCCTGATCCCCCTCCCGCCCTTCGAACCCCTCAGTCCCAGCCTGGAGCACCCTCCCACACCCTGAACTCCTCATTTCTGGCCCAACCCCAAAGCCCACACCCCGAGCCAGAGCCCAGTTTTGTGAGCATGCATGGCCCGCCATACAATTTCCATACCCAGATGTGGTCCTCGGGCCAAAAAGTTTGCCCACCCCTGGTATAGCTT